AAAGTTTCATCGGAAAGAAATTATACGAAAAATTAACTAACGAACGGAGGCGTAACAAATTGGTGTCAGAGAGTGGGACAAAAAAAATGGAAATGAGAAGCGGCAAATCATCCTACAGCTTAGCAGACTTGATGGTAGCAATACAAGAGCAGCAAAAGAAACAAGAAGAACGAGAAAAGAAACAAGAAGAGAGATTACAGCAGTTGTTGGAGGAACAAGAAAAGAAACAAGAAGAGAGATTACAGCAGCTGTTGGAGGAAAAGAAAAGAAACAAGAAGAGAGACAACAGCAGTTGCAAGAGAACCTACAACAGTGGAAGCTGGAACAGCAAAATAAACAAGAGAGATTACAGCAGTTGTTGGAGGAAAAAAAAGAACACGATGAGAGATTATAACAGCTATTGGAGAAGAAAGAACATAAACAAGAAGGGAGACTACAACAGTCGCAACTGAAACAAGAAAGGAAACAGGAAGAAAGTCAGCAGCAGCTACAGGAAAGTCAACAACAATGGCAAGAAGTACAAATGGATAAAAAATAGTAAATTTAAAAGCGAATTAAATACAATAAAGGATGATCTATTGTCTTTTACACAAGGAGGATATATTAACTATTGACTTAATCAGCCCCAGACAATGGCAAGCCCCTTCCAGACCCCGCTGCTAAACCCTAATGCAGACATCTTCAGTCCTGTTAGAAGTCACATCCCAGATCTGAATGTCACCAATAGGGGCGATCCAGTACGAAGGAAGTCACAGAAATTCGATGGGAAGGCACCGTGGGAAGCATATAGAGCACAATTTGAGCTACTGGCAGAAATGAGTGAATGGACAGAGGGGCAGAAAGCAGTATATCTGGCAACGAGCTTGAAAGGACAATCACTGGAAATACTTCAACAGTTGTCAGCAGACGACAGACACAACTATAGAGCACTGGTAGCGGCTCTAGAACTCCGGTATGGAACCCAAAATCAGTCAGAAGTCTACAGGGCTAGGTTTAGGACGAGAGTCCGTGCTAAAGGGGAGAGACTGCAAGAGCTGGCACAGGACTTGGAAAGTATGGCACACAAGGCCTACCCAACTGCACCACCCGATCTCCTCAAGTTGTTGCTGTTGCTCCTCAAGTTTGTAGATGCCTTGGACAGTCCACAACTAAAGATACAAATGAAGCAAGCACACCCCTCTACCATGCAGGATGCAATGGCCAGAGCTCTTGAATTTGAATCCTACATTAAGTCCAGCACAGAGGTACCAAGGTTGGTACAGTCATCTGGATTCAAGGCCAGAAAAGGTCAGCTTTCAGAGAGGTCTGAGGGTCTTTGCTGGCACTGTAATAAACTCGGGCACAAGAGAGCTCAATGCTGGAAACTTCAACACAGGGGAGATGATACAACAGGAAAGGCTGCTACCCAGAAAGGTTGTTGGAACTGTGGAAAGCAAGGACATATGAGGAGCCAGTGTAAAAAGAATATTACCAACAAGTCGGCCTCAAGGAGTACAGTAGTGGTTGGTGTCGAGGGACACTCACCAACCCCCATCATGAAAGTCTCAACACTTAGGTGTAAAATGCCAAGCACACACAGTGTCTATGTGACAAGAAAGCTGGATGGCCAAAGGTGCAACTTTGTCATAGATTCTGCGTCTCAGCAAACCCTTGTGAGCATCAAGGTGTTAAATCATGAAGGAGTACCAGAAGCCATACAGAAGCTTTATGGTGTGACAGGACATTCTACAAGGTTGTGGGGACCTGTGTGGGTAACTATTGAGCTCATGAGCATAAAGGACAGACACAAAGTATACTTGGCTGACATTGAAGACAAATGTATATTAGGGTTGGACTACTTACTCCGGTAACTGTTAAAAGAGAGGTTGAACTAATTAGGTGCCAACAAGCTGAAGTCAAAGTGACTGAAGAAGTTGATGATGACGAAGTGGAACCAGATATAGATATCAAAGCAGAACAGGAGAAAGACCAAGATTTGAAGCCAATGATTGATTTTCTAAAAGCAAGTGTTTTGCGCCCTGCTTGGGAGAAGGTGTCTAGTCTAAGCCCCGTGACAAGGAACTATTGGGCACAATGGGACCAGTTGAGGCTTGAAGATGGTATTCTTCTCCAGAGATGGGAAACTGCAGATGGGAAAGTGACGACCTGGCAAACAGTTATACCGAGAAAGTTACGGGAAGTTGTGTTGCGTCAATCCCATGATACTGTAACAGGAGGACATCTCAAAGTTAAGAAAACATTGAGTCACCTACGACACAGACTTTACTGGATAGGTATGAGACAAGATGTGGAAGAATGGTGCAGAACATGCAGTACATGTTGTGCTAAAAAGGGGACCCAAGCATAAGGGACGTGCGCCAATGAAGTTATATCAAGTTTGTGCACCAATGGAAAGAGTAGCCGTCGACATTGCTGGTCCTCCGCCCCAAACTCGTGCTGGAAACAAGTACATTTGTGTGGTGATGGATTATTTCACCAAGTGGCCTGAGGCATATGCAATACCAACTTCGGTTGCCAGTGGATCTGTTAACAGGACGCCCACCTTATGAAAAG